TACATTATATAATCGCAGTGGTACTGATGTTGACAGGGAAAAGAAGGAGGGAAAAGATTTTAGATGGACCAAGCAGCAAGTCAAAAGGCCTTGAGAAATAAAACCCCATGGTATGTTTGGGGGAAAACTATGCATCTTTGTTTTATGTACTCAAAAGAGGGCATCTTCCCCCTTTTCCTATTACTGTTTGAACTGAAATGGGAGTATGTTCTAGAAGAGTATGTCCTGAACTTTTCTGTTTGCATTATTTGACTTCTTTTTCTTTCCAGGAATGTTACTGTTATGCAACACAGACCCCTTTCTATATTTATCCCTCATTTTCCATTTTCATTTGATCAGTGTTATTTCTGACAAAGTACTCTTTTCACATCACAGAGAAAGAGAGGGAAGTAAAAAACCAATTCATACATTTCATCATCTGCCTTCTAACCAGTTAATATTGAATTAGAACATACAATTGTGCTTGAACTTTCCAAGCAATATATGCTACTTTCCAAGAAGCATATATTTGAAGAGAAAATAACTAAACTTTGATATTATTTCTGTTTTTATAACTATTTAAGGCAAAAAGGATGGAATTTGCTGAAATAATAAAGCAAATCTTAACCAACCTGTAGTGTTTTAGAACAACAGATTTACATTATTACTTGCATGATAAAGGCCATTTCCAATGGAAATATTTCCCTCAGGTATTTTTTAACAGAAAGTTCTAAATTTAGAACAAAGAAACAATTACTAGCATTATGCAAATATATGGAAAAATAATACAGTCGTCAACTAAGCAATTCCAACAACGGATAAGACTCTACCTTCCTTATCACATGAGAAGGGACAGTAGACTTGACTTTCATGATTTGTTAATTGCCAGCTGCTTTTGTCTTAGCCCTTTAAGGTCAAAGAGCTCAAACCACTGATTCTATGTCTAAGCACAAAGAATATGTAGAATACGGGACACCCATGTCTAAAGAGATGGGGAAGGATGTTCTCAATGACTTGGTTACTGGAAAGGAGCATCTTGCTCCCTCTTCTGCCCTCTTGCCTCATCTTCTCTGCTTCAGAGAGCTGCCATTCTCACATGGGAAGCTAAGTCTATACTGCAGCTCTTTTCCCAGCCTGGTTTAATATAAGGTCTCCCCACAGCATGAATTTGCTATTCTTTTCCACAGCTTTTCTTGTGGGCAGGTGACAGGAGGTCTATAGATTTTCAGAGAGGGGTTTTAAATTTTTTGAAACGATCCAAAGTGTCAATAAGCTTAGAAGGAACATTTATACTTGATATAGTTATCTACTGCTCTGATTTCTGACCTCATATAACAACACCAATACCATTTGAAGACTCCAGTTTCAGAAAATAACCAATAAAATCTTTTCCTCTCCTCTTTAGGCCCTCACCTTCCCTTCCTTTGACTCTTCTAACTGATGTAGCTGCCTGCAGTCTCTTCCCACTTCAGTCCATTCCTGGGCTGCTCCCCAAATGATCCTTCTACATGACTTCATTATGACCCAGTTTAATGCTTTTTGATAGGTCCCAGTACTGCAGGATAAGGCTGTAGTTAATCCGAAGCATGGCGTGCAAGGTTGCGTGCGATGACTTTTCCAGGGTTACACCTCCTGTTTATACCTGATGCCTTTGCAGAATTTCAGCCTTATGAGCTTGCACTACTAAGCCTCCCCTGACTCCATGACTTAGTCAGGCTGTCCTCTGTATTACTGCAGCAGTGACTGGATACTGGACACGGGATATTGGAGCTCCTGTTCATCTAAAGATCATCACCATTGCTTAGCAAGTTGCCCGTGTGTGTTCAGATAATTAAAAAAGGTAACTGAATTACTTCCCATTTAGGCAGAGCTGTCTTAAATCAAAACCACTAGTCCTAACAGGTTTTATTGGCTCCAAATGGTTACCTGTTTGAGGCCACATCTGGCTGATCATATATTTCTGTACATAAGCATATGAGGATGTATGTGCATGTGTACCAAAGCCAAAGATACATGGGATTCCTTCTCAAGTTGGTTAGGTGAAATAAATTTGATTCTTTTGATAGACACACAAATCGCCATGAATCACTTTCATATAAATATGTTTTATTGCAGAGAAGTTATTATTATTTACATGCTGTAACACATCACAACATAAATTTACCAAATATTTCATGGTGAGATGCTGTAGGTTTCAGATAATAGTTTCAGAAGAACCACAGATTAAGTGAAGAGACTTACAGCTTTATTGACTCTACAACTCTCGGTTGCTAAATGCTAGAAGTCAAAAGGCAGTGTTTTTCAGTCCTACCTGTCACCACTTGCATGCAGAAACCTAGGAAGCAAATACAAGAGAACTGTCGAGTTTCAAATCCAAGTTGCCACCAAAGTTTACAATGGGCTGAGTTATATAATTCATGTCGTAAAGCATTTAATTCTTGCATAAAATATACAGTTCTATTAAGATTGGTATAAATCTACTTATTTATAAACCCTGGCTTAAAAACAAGGACAGGATGCAGCCTGCACATGCATTGAGAAGGACAACCTAGCAAATGTTTGTGACCTTAACAGTGTTTATTCACTTTCTTACTGTTATCGATCTAGGAAAATAACCTCAAGAATTGTAGATTTAAACTTCTCTTGGTGATAAGCAATGGCAATGAAACTCTAGGAAGGACCCTAGGCACTCTCACTGATTTATGCTGGTGGAGAAAAATCTATGGACTGTAGACTGTCACTAAGGTATAATTTGGCAAGTCTTCTTTAAGCCACATCTCTAGCAGGATCATCCTGAAGTGCAATAAAAAGTCACTGATGCTTGACTGCTTATGTCTCAAAAAGCGAATAAAGTGCTCACAGACCTGGAACATAAGTGAAACAAGCAGGTAGACCTGGCAATTCCTATCCAAGTTCACAAATATACCTTAAAGTTGTATTCCAAGGTTACTGAATACATAGGCCTTGACTGAAAAGGAAGAAAAGAAGGAAATAAATGAAGGAAATGCAGAAAAATAGAATCTCTATATCTCTTCAAACCTACCCCACCAACCTGAGTAATGTACAAAGTGAGCAAATGGGTGAGGAAGATTTACGCACAGCTTTGCAAAATGGTGACACGCTCATTGACTCCTGAATAAAAATCGTTGAGAAAATTTGATGATGAATAAAGAGAAGTCCTAGTTTCTACCCTCCACTGAGAATGATATTCTCTCAGAACAGCCCCATATCTGCCTTCTGATTCTCTTTTCTTATCTTTCATCCTCCTAGCACGTTCCCCTTGCTTCTCATTAAATGAAAAGTTACTTAGGCGGGAAATGTCCTGGCCAAATAAGCCGTCGGTACTCCAGCGTTTAGCGGGGAGAGAAAGGGAAGTCTGCATTCTATTTCTAAGTAATTCATCTTTAACTAAGATGAGACTGAGCTTCAGATCAGAATCTCTTCTCACGATCACATCAGCAGGGCTAAGTCAGCAGCTTAGGATTTCCATGCCAAATGATCAGCGTGGAAGGCAGTAAGTTTTACAAATTTCGCTCTGGGACCTGTTTTGCTTTGCATGTGAACCTGGCATTTTTAATTGTGAGCGAGGTGGCAATATGTAGGACTTGTAAGTTTTCCAGTGCTCGGGAGAATGAAGAGCCTGTACCGTCTGACAGGCTTTGAATAAATCAGGTTATAAACCTCTTTGGGATTTAAGCCCAGCAAGTGCTACCCCTGGCTGAAGCAACGAGTAAGAGTTTATGAGAATAAGTAGTTGGAGGTAATTTAAAATATATATTCGGTATGCATAATAAAAATATATCCATACAATGATCTTGATGCTATCATAATTTTTCTCTTTAAAAAAATACTCCCTTGAAAGTGCTATCAGTAGCTCCCTTTCTGTCTGTGTTTTGAAAGGCAAATTCCCTGGCTCCGCAGGGAAGAGAATTCCTGTTGTAATTCTCATGTCATTCCTAGAGTCTTCCCTTTCGGTGGTGATACTAATGTGCAGTATATTTTTCTCACTCTTAGCTTCTTCCTTACGAAATGCTGCTAAGTATGAAATACTGAAAAGAGTTAAAAGGGACAATAGATTGGAATGAAGGCGTTACCTGTCTCTGACTCTGAACAAACAATAGGTAAGTTGTCCTTTACTGAGACATATGACTAGAGTAGGACCGCTGGGTCTCAGAGTCCTAACAAGAAGTGCAAAACAAGTAACTCAACTTGTATAAAAAACCCTGATTAAGACAGTATAACAAACCATGAGGTGAAACAATAGAGTCAAATCCAAATTCACAATATATATAAACCACAGCCAGAACGAAAAGAGTTTATCATAACAGTTATGGCTTCCCAAGCCAGAGAAAGCTTACTGTACTTCAAGAATCAACTAAAGTTGATAGATAGCAGGTATTCTGTAACTTGCGAGAACAACTGGGTAGCTGCAGATTGCATAAATGTGTTGTGTCACATAATATCAAAGTTATTTGCAAAAGTTATACAACCTGGAATGCTTGAATATGAGACACAACCATGTACTGAAACATACATTTATAAGAAAATGAGAGCAATCATTAATATAAAAGGTATTTTTGGGATGCATTAAGTTAGCAGTGCTATCAAGGTTAAATAGGTAAAGTAAGTTCAGTTAGCTACTTAGAATTTCGGTCGTATATGTCTATACCTTCTTCTTCTTTGCACAATCTCATACTGTGTCTTCTGGTTTGCCTTGCTTAGGATCTTCAAAGGGCCATGGGCAAATACTGATCAGGGGCAGACGGTGAGGGCTACTCTCCCTACGTGCCGAAATGTAAGGATTCTCCTCATGTCCTCAGGGGAAAGACTTCTCTAGGCCAGTCTAATTCCTCCATTGTGATGTTGCTCTGCCCTCCAGGTCTTCTTCTGCCCTTGTCTTTCCCCTTTCCCTTGACTGACAAATATTCTTTGGGAATTTCTATCTTCTGTGGAATTCAGGGTTTCTTCCTTCTTCTCCTTTTCTTTCTGGGGATGCTACGCCCACAAGTATCCCAGACCTCTTATTTCCGAGGCCCTGCTATCTTATTTGCACTTAAAGTGGAAGAGGCAGCAGGTAAAGCACTTCTTTCAGCATTTGGTAGATCTGGGGTCTCAAACTCCCAAGGACACACCTCAGCTCGCGATGTTAAAGGTTGCTGAAAGTTATTACTTGAGTTATAGGAGCCAGGCACGTTTTCCTCAGGGGAAGATGTTTTTTGTTCCTGGTCTCCCGTTTGGTTGAGATTTCCATTCTCTACTTTTGGTGCTACGGCTTTGGGGGGCAGCTCTTCATATTGCCCAGCACACACGTTTATCGCATAACGCTGACCGCCATTCTCACCTTTAGCCCTCCCTGGGGGAACCTGAGTCTTGGAAATCAAATTCTTCTCATCTTCCAAAACGGGCTGACCTTGGCTCTCCCAAGGGCATACCTCAGCCTTGTCTATGCTCTTCTGATTGGTTTGCTGACATAGTTCAGCTGCCTTAGGCTTCTGATGAGATTTTTCCTTTAAGGAAAAAGTTGGGTTTTTCTCCATTTCAGAAGCTGCAATAGATACGTGTTTTTGAACTTTTGATTCTGAAGGCACGGGACCAGGGGCCAGGTCATAAATCTCCCAAGGGCACACTTCCCCTATGTCAAAGTTGTTCTTCATCTGGGTGGTGCCTGGGCTCATCTCAGAATTGGCAGTGGACGGGTTGACCCTTTGTTGCTTCATAATCCCAGATTTCTGAGGTTTTCTTGGCTCCTCCAAATGACTGGAGTTTGGGGGGGCAGAATCTTTAGTCTCTGCATTATCTGAATTTGAGTATTTTCTGTTTGCTTCTTTATCTTTTGGCAGAGGTTTCTGGGAGTTAGCACGTTCTTCCAGGCCTGATGTTTGGGTCTTCCCAGCTAATCCAAGAGTCTTCTCCTTGGCACTTGCTATGACACTGAGAGACTTTTGTAACACGGATGTTCGTGGGTGCCCCTGCTTCTTCTCTGAGCTGAGATTGTGAGCACTTGCTGACTTACACACCAAAGGCACAGACTCTGTGGACTCGGCCTCACTGTTTTCTTTCAGTTTTTGTGTTAATTTTTTACTTGACAGAGACTCCAGTGTGGAATGTTCTGTAGACTCCTCTTCTTGGCTTTCCCCCGGTAAACTGTTGGACTCTTCTGTGTGCTCCCGCACATGATCGTAAGTGCTGTGGGATTTCTTTAGTGAGAAGACTCGGTTTTTCAGGGACTCCTCCTTGGGCTTCCCGGTGTTACCTGAAGACTCTTGCGGGTTCTTCCTGACCAGGGCAGTGCTTTTGGCTGTGCTGTGGTCTGTGACTTCCTTGTCCTCTTTGGAACACTGCCTGCTGACCGTCTCTGGGATCTCGGTGATACGCCTCATGATTGAACGGCCTAAGCCCTTCTTGGAGCACCGCTTTTTCTGGAGGTGGGGGTTATTTGTAATCATCTTCTTCCTCTTATATATTTCCAACTGGGCATAGAGTTTCTTCAGCTCATCCTGCCAGAACAAGAGCAAATTCACAGAGATGTGGAACTTAGTGATTTAGCAAGGTAATATTGCTAAATGTAATTTGAGGTTTATTAATTTGCATTCTGTTTCACATAGCGTTTGAACTTTAAGACCTGAACACATGCATTTTACCCTTGTTTCATGGAGCAAGCCCTTGGGACTTATGAGTTGTGTGTGCCAGACTCAACTGGGATCACAATAAAAACACAGCGTATTATCTACCGATAAGCCATACCCCTAAACGATATTGGAAGCATCATGTAGCCATTGATAAAATTACCCCTAATGGTAGATCAGATCTAGGGGACAACAGACCATCAGTTACTGAAAGCATCTTCTTACTCCAAATGCTGATGTGTTGTCACAGATTATTCTCAGTAACCCATTCTCTCTGCCCACAGATCTGCCTTTCCATCAGCAAAATGTCATAAACGGTATTAGGGGACCAGTGTAACCAGTTCATCATTACGGCTGCTAATAAAAGTCAGCTGAGACCATCAAGAGTGGCCTGTAGAATTTCTACCATAACAAATGTTTTACACCTGAATTAACTCCCTTTGATGTCTTTGGTTCTTACAAAAACACACATTCCCCTTCTCTTTTTCTCTCTGACTCACACATGCACACAGATGAGCATACACGTACATCAGCCCACATGGGCTTGCCTGTATAAACGGGGTTAATCTGAAATAAGAAAGATGAAATACTGGTATTACCCGAATGTCTTCTGGGTCTAAGCTGTGCTCACTCCATGCTGAATTGATACTGCTGTTCAGGTAGGATCCAGACCGGCCCATGTCTAGCTCATCTTCATATGCTTCTGTAGCAATGTCATCTCGTGGGTTATTGCTTGAATGCGAAAACTGCAATAGATAATATGAGCTGTAGACATTAGCCCACTATAAGGCAGAGCATAATAATTTTCTAAAGGTTCTAATGTTCATATTATCTCTTCGGCTTAGAACTCTTCACAAAAAGATCTGCTGCTATGTTTGTGTTTTGCTTTCCATGTTACACGCTAAAGCTCTTAGGCAATATTAATGAGTGGTTCCTTCTCTGACTACTATTTTCTTCTTTGTCTTTTCTCCAGGCTCCCGGTGTTCACTTACGCGACTCCTCTTCCATTATATTTGCATTTTGAAAATGAAAATAGGTAGAAAAACCCAAACAAATGTTTTCCAAGAGTAGCAATTTAAACTCCCCGGCAGTTGGATGGAAATATTTTTTGAGCAGTAGGGTCTACCTTGTGTTTGTCGTTTTGTTTCAAATAGGGGACACTGTATTTCATCTAAGGGCACAAGTGGCTCTGATCACAGACAGTGACTTTCTGTCTACTCCACTTAGCTTCAAAAAAGTTGCTTCCAAGACTCAGGGGACAAGGGATCTTAATTCCAACCTCAATTGTGTTGACAGTGATATCTTGAACAAATCGTGGAGCCTCTCTGGAGCACAGAGCCCTCTCAGCCTAAAGTGATGATATCTAACTTTAAAAGTCAGAGATTCACTGAACCTACAGAATTTTTTCTCAAGCTCATTATTCTCAAGTTCCTCCTTCACCGAACATTTTGAGGTATTTTTATTATTTTCATGTGTCTTTTTGATATTTTTCAGTTTCATGTACTCTTGCTATCTCTATTCTTTTGCAAATGGAGACATGAAGAAGAATGAATTGGGTAAATGATGGAAAGCAGGGAGACTCAAAACAATCCAGCCACTTCACACAATATATAAACTAAGTGACTATTCTATGAAAATTGAGAGAAAGGCTTAGGGAAATGAGTTCTCTTCTCACAGCTTGTCATCAGCTCAAATACTCCTTTAAAAAATTAACAGATCACCCTTTGATGATACAGAGCAATTTCAATGTCAATACTTGTTAAAATATTTATGTGGGCCGGTGAACATATAACTATATATATAAGATATATATATATATATATATATATATGATAACTAATGTGAAATGGCAATTCTCTACTTAAGGAACCGTGAAGGTTTTGTTATAGGGGCTGGTTGAGAAACCACAGAAATGGGTGAATCTTGCCTTCACTCTTCTACTTATGTTTGTGGTTCCCATATGTGTCAGGAACTTAAGGCCATAAAGATGAATAGAACACAGTCCCTATCCTTCCAAATCTCACAAGCTACTAGTGAATCACTGAGAGGTTATTGATAAGAATGGACTTGTTTTTGTCAAGCACAGTCTTAGAGGTGACCATGAGTTTAAGAAACAGTTACTTGTCAGATATTGTCCATTTTCTACTGCATTATATTTCCTTATATCCATCTAAAATAATATTTGAAATATTTATCTTATCTTTTCTGTTTCCCCCTTCTCCAGAACATAAGTACCACAAGAGCACATATGTTATCTGTTCATTACTCTTATTCTAGTACATAGACCAGTGCTTGGCAAAGCCCCTCAATGATTTTTTTGTAGTTATCTGAAGTTGATATATAATTCATATACCATGAAATTCTCAATTTCAAATCATACAATTGAATGATTTTTGGTTTATTCACAGGGCTGTGCAACCATCACCACTATCTAATTCCAGAATATTCTCATCACCTCCAAAAGAATCTTGAACCCAGTAGGCAGTCACTTCCATATCGCCTCCTCCCTAGCTAGTGGCAACCACCAATCTACTTTCTGTCTCCATAGAGTTGCCTGTCCTGGACATTTCATAGAAATGGAATCATGCAACCTTTTGTGTCTAGCTTCTTGCACTTGGCATAATGTTTTCAAGGCCTGTACAAGTTGTAGCGTGTATCAGTGCTTTATTCCTTCTTATTGCTGAACAGTATTCCATTGTATAGATACACCACATTTTGTTTATACATGTATCAGTTGATGGACATGTGGATTGTTTCCACTTTTTAGCTGTTATGGATAGTGCTTCTAGGAACATTCATGTACAAATTTTTGTATGAACACGTGTTTTCAATTTTTACAACTGAATAAATAGCCTGAGTATACAGTATATCCATCTAATAAAAATGTAATCATATAATGGAAAGTATGAAAATGGATAGGATAAACTGCAGTAGCAGAATAGCCCATGGAAATTGTGGCTATTTGGTATAATTCAAGTAAGGAAGAAAGTAGGCATTTGGCTCTATTTACATTTGTTTGGACTTTCAGTCAGGCTGAATTTCATTTAATGTTTTGGTTAATTGTGAGAGGAGGTAAAGCCTGGAGTGGAGTGAATGATAAGAAATCACAATTCTTGTCTCAACCATGCTAATAATATATCGTGTGCCACTTACACAGATACATAGTGTCCTAATATTTTGTTTTTCCATGGGCAAAAGAGGAAAATAATAATAATGCTCTAACTTGTATGTTATTCTCCCACACTCTGCGATCATATTATTTCACTGTAAGCAGCTTTATGGCTATCATGTCCTAGATGAGGAAACTGAAACTCAGAGAGATGAAAGTCTTAGCTAATGATTCCCTACTGTATAACTAGTGGGGGCGGAGCACATATTGATAATTCCCCCCACTTCAGTATGCTGTCTAGATAAATCTTTGTCAGCCCATCTTTATTAAGCAGGATTCTTCTATACACAACATTATAATTATTTATTTCTATTTATATAAAAATTTTCTGAATGTTTGCAATACAATGCTTCTTGAATATCAATCCAAACAAGAGGACTCTTAGAAGAGGCTAATTCTTTTCAAAAAATAATTTTGATGTTATAGCTACAGTCAAAGGCCATCTTGAGCCCATAATTAAAACATAACTGTGTATCAAAATATTTGAAAAAGAACTGAACCAGAGGATGGGTTTTGTAAAAATTGAAGCATTTAATAATTATATAGGATATTTAATAAATTCGAAAAGAAAAGAGACATCTAGTTCCCTGAGGAGAGAGCTTTAAAATTATTTTAGAGCGTCAAGCAAATCTCCACACCTCTCTTGGCCTATATGCCAGATATTTTTTTAAAGCAGAAACAACTCCATGCTTATTTAAAATAATTGTCTTGCAAGAGAAAAGTAATGTTAAAGGAGTACCTTTGGAATCAAAAGCAACCCAATGGTGACTGTCACAGTCAAATGAGTATGTGCAAAATACAGCATTAGCATCCAGTCAGACTGAAGTCTTGAGGCAAGAACGAATCTGAAATGAGAATTCACCAAGTTAGTAATCCAACAAGATCTCTATTTAAAACCCTAGGATACTTGGAAACTTTTTTCCTTGGTGTATTTTAAAAAAACAAGCAAGCATGGAAACAGTTGTATTGCTGTTTCTATGGCATATATTGTCATCACAGGAGAATAAGGCTCAAAGTGACTGCAATTGGATAAAGATATGAACTCTTTATTATTTTTAATTTTAAGTTAGTAAGAAAGACAGCATATAGATATATAATGTGCTAATCATTTCCTGGAATTTTTATTTTGTATGTAAATTGAATGTCTTAAAATTAAAGCCACGAACACTTATGAATTCAAAAGAAGAATGGGCTTACAAACTGGTGACTTCAGGAAAATTTGGGCTATGAGACACATCCAAATAACTCTTGATTCTAATTCTCTACATTTGAAAACATTAATCAAGAAAAAAAAATAAGAAAAAAAAAGGATAGGTAATTATCTGTCTTTGTGAATGACCTCAAAGGCTTCAATGATGAACAATGTAATGGAAAAATGAATATACTAATGGTTTGTAAAACGCCTCTTCTAAAATAAAAAATTTAGTTATTGTAAAGTATCAAACTGTTTTATGATAATTTAAAATGCAATATTTAAAATCATATCTTGCTGAGTAATTTATAAAGTTGTGTTCTAGGAGAGTTTGCAGGAAACTTGTATAGGAAAACTTCAGTACTGAGATCTACTCTGGTAATTGCTGGAATATTTTCATAAATCATTAGGTATATGTACAAACAAACTCATGTTTTAAGGACTCATTCTTTTGCAGAAACCAGATGTTGCTTTTATCAAGGTCCTTTGCAATTATATTTTTCTTTTAATTTTTTTCCCATCTACTGTTTATCCACGAAAAGCTAAATATGAGATTTTACTGCATTTGGAATTAGACAATCAGCATTTTGATTCAGTGATATACATCATCAAATTTAAAAAGCTGATATCTTAAGACAATGCTTATGAACATTAACATATATAATGTTATATAAACATATATGAATCTAAACGCAGAAGAAACTAATTTTATATCTTTTACTAAGTAAATTAGTATTATTTATACTCAGAATTTCCACTAAGTGGATTTCTTCCTCATTTTTACCTCTATCCTATCCCCCACTCCCCCAAATACCAAGTTTCTCACCCCCCTCCCTCAAATATCAAGTTAAAATGGAGGCTCAAGAGTTGTCCAAAATGGAGAGGTAGTTTCCCCTGTGTTTGGAGACATACACAAAATGGACTTACAATACATGCATAGAAGTACAGAAAACTCACGATAGCTCACACGTTACTAAACAGGATTTTATGAATTAACATCTTCTCTAATTCCTTTGTCAGAAAAGTGGCTTTATACCTGCCTTGGATATGACTAAATGAATATCCACTTTGTTCAGGGATGAGATATTTTTTGACAGAGTCTCTGTAGGGTCAGGTGAGATTTTTTTTTTCTTTTTTAAAGCAGTGAAATAGGATCATCATCCTCAGTAACAAGTTACAGTATCTTAAGCATGGAAGCAATATAAAATGTGGCCTGGAAAATGATCTCATCCCAAACTGCTGGGGCCATTTCCAGTTCTGGGGCAGACAGTTATAGGGAAGGGGATGGGTCTACAGTCCACAGGCTCATGCACTGGGGATTCCTATTCAAATGCCAGTGAACATTATGAATGCCAGTGAATGCAAGTGAATGTTAGCCTGACAGTATCTGGAAGGAACAATGCTTACATGTATTTTAAATTAAAATGGTGAGTCTCCCAAAAAGTAATTTTGAAGTACTGTATACGAACATCAATTTTCCCTAAATTAACCAGCTTTTATTCAACGTTTTTTTTTTTTTTTTTTTTTTTTTTTTTTATTTATTTTTGGGACAGAGAGAGACAGAGCATGAACGGGGGAGGGGCAGAGAGAGAGGGAGACACAGAACCGGAAACAGGCTCCAGGCTCTGAGCCATCAGCCCAGAGCCCGACGCGGGGCTCGAACTCACGGACCGCGAGATCATGACCTGGCTGAAGTCGGACGCTTAACCGACTGTGCCACCCAGGCGCCCCTAAATTAACCAGCTTTTAAATACTGCTGGGCTTGTTAGGTTGCAATTCTGACTAGAACGATCTTAAGAGAAATTGGGTTTTGCAGTCATTTTAAAGATTGGTTTTCTTTGAAAGACTATTACAGCTTCTAAAAAAATAGATCTAACAGTCAGGACCATAGAAATATTCAAAAATTCAAGTTAGGAAGAAAAGCAAACCTTTTAAAATCTCGCACTTTCCCAAAGCTCTGCTTTATGCTTAGTGAAGGATTATAGAACAGATTAAGCAAAATGCCTTCTGCATTATGAGACTGCCGGACTTAATCCTTTTAGTTTATTTGTTTAATCTGGCAATTTGATGAGAATAAAAGTAAATCTGTATATAAATATGCAGTTATAGCTTTACATATTTATGTATGTATATATACATACATACATACAGTTATGTATGTATAATTTTATATTTTAAGCAAATAAGAAAGAACAGATATGTCCTATTGATAGAGAATATCTTTGCTGATGTTGGATGCCTTATTTAATATTATTTGATTCTATTAAAAAATTACAAAGATGAACCCAGTTTATTTAAATTATTACGTTCTTGTTTCTTATTCTTGGACTTTACCAACATTGGAATCATAGCATGTACAAATTCAGTCCACATGTAAATAAGAAATTGTATATACTTGACTCCTTTAATTATTACTGCCTATTACTTGCTTCTTGCTCATCTCCCTAAAGTCAGTGTTCTGTAGATTTAGTGTGTCAAACTATAATTCTATCCTTGGCTGTTTATGACCATACAAGTTAAATTTCTGAGAAAGTAGCTAATATATACTATGATTCTTTGAAGCCAATATGCTACAATCTAATTGAAAGGTAAGTTAAATTTGGAACTTAAAATGTAGGGCTTCCCACGCAGGTGTTCTTAGGCTTGCCTAAGAAAATACCAAGGCCTCCTGCTGCCATTGGAAGTCCTCCCTGTTCAAAACTTATAGGGGACTACACAGTTGTCTGGAAGAAAATTGATCTTGTGAGTATGGCATGTCTACTAACACCAAATCTACTAGGTTCAACATGAACAATTCAGTCAGCACTTGTGCCTATGTGCACCCAGCTCATCATTTACATGGTTCATCTGGCTAGGCTAATGGGTTGTTTGGGACTCTGTAGGAAAGACCTAAGCAAAGTAAGAAAACTAATTTTGTTTTAAAGCAAGCTCGATGCCCAATGTGGGGCTTGAACTCATGACCTTCAGATCAAAAGTCGCATGCTCCCTGATTGAGCCAGCCAGGCTCCCAAGAAAATTATTTTCAGTGAATATTTAGCGTGTGTTTCCTAATATGCTAACAGTGCTTATCACTTTTGGGTGGTTGGATTAGGGAGTTTATTTTTTATCATTTTATGATTTATCTGTAATAACCACCTATTGCCTTCTTAAGAATTTTTTTTAAGTTCATTTAAAAAGTGCTTTACCTTGCCTACTGCTGAAAAGACTTGGACCAGTTGAGAGTTTAAAATCCATTGAAAAGGGGCGCCTGGGTGGCGCAGTCGGTTAAGCGTCCGACTTCAGCCAGGTCACGATCTCGCGGTCCATGAGTTCGAGCCCCGCGTCAGGCTCTGGGCTGATGGCTCAGAGCCTGGAGCCTGTTTCCGATTCTGTGTCTCCCTCTCTCTCTGCCCCTCCCCCGTTCATGCTCTGTCTCTCTCTGTCCCAAAAATAAATAAACGTTGAAAAAAAAAATTCTAAAAAAAAAATAAAATCCATTGAAAAAATAAATCAATAAAATCAATCAATCAATCAATAAAATCCATTGAAAAAACATTTAACAATGAAAATTGAAAAGAATAAATCTTCAAGTAGAAAAGGATAAGAATCAATTTAGGCAACTGCTTTAAACAGATTTAATTTCTTGGGCAATTTGGTTCTAAGAAATACAGCAGCTGATTGTAGGGCAAAAGTAGGAAGGCCTTTGCATGACATGGTCACATTCTGGCAACAGAAGACATTTAAACTCATCTGCAATAAGCCTCTTGGTATGCTTAGAACTCTGCAATTGGTTCGTTTATATAACACTTAACTTATAAATGGTTCTAGAGAAGCATGTTTGTTATACCTTGAAACATATGTGTTTGATATCCTGGACACAAAAAACAAAAATGCAACTTTTCTTGGGAGATGGTTTGGGAGACCTGTGAAGGCTTTGGGGCTCCGCCCATGGCAGAGTCCTCTCTGGTGCTCACTACACTGTGCACCGAGGACACCTCCTCTCGTGTCCTCCAGCTTTAGTCTAAATAGGATTAAGAGAGACTTCTTTTTGCCCAGTTATAATATCATATTTTGCTTCTCATCTTTCCTTCCTCTTCTCGTTTTCTCTTTTCTCTCTCTTTTGAGAGGGGTCAAGACAAAGCAAAGAGGCAAATTCCCTGGATTCCTAGCCCTTTGATGGAGGCTCCAAGATGATCAAATCATAAATACCCCCTTTCTTACTTAAAAGATAAAAAGTGTAGGTGTGTCTAAGGCTCAACTGCTCTCTGCCATCATCTGTTCCTAGAAGTGCAAGATATAATTTTATAATTATTGACTAAAGTGAGAAATGATAAATATCTTCCAAAACTTCCACAGATCCACACCTTCCCACTCTGACTCCCACTATTATTATTGTTTTTCCACTGAGGGAAATGGCTGAATAATTAAAATTTCTCATTGTATTCTTAAGTACGTCTTAACTTTTAAGATATGTCGAGCAAGTAATGACATTTATTTTGTTACTTTTGAAATTATAGGATTTCATTTTTTGTTCTCACTGAGGTTTTCATTTCATTTTCAGATAGGCATAAATTCGCAGAAGATAAGTCACACATATTTCATTTTGTTCACTTATCATTAGCCCCTTTCTTCCTCCTTTATACTGACCGAGTACGAAATATAGGGGATATCAAAAAATGGAGGGCCAAGCATACATGCGTACAATAGGTCACTGCTAAACCCCATTGCACACAAAAATCTAGTCCTTGGGTTGGAATGGTTTTTTAGTTTTGAATTCAGCAGAATAAATACACATAAATTGTCTATCTGAACATTGATTTTAAAAGCGTAACCCCATGCATTAAACATGAATGGAAACACAGATAATTTATTATATCAACTTTATGATGTATGCATGTGTAGCTTTATATCTTCAGAACAAAAAGTATTACATATCATAACAATATTCAATGACATTCCTGTAAGTGGTTTGATAGAATACAATAATACAGAGTAATTAACCTTCAAAATAAAGGTAGTAACAAAACATCAGCAGGAACTAAGAACAGTTAAAAAAAACAAAACCCTACATTCATTTGCCATTTCTGTGACAAAGAAATTAGTCAGCTTAAAAACATTATCCTTCCTGAATCTTTCCATGATGCATTTTACCCAATTTTGCTATTTAAATCAAACCACAACACATTGGAGAAATAAAACAGTTATTTGCTAGCTCTACAGAGCACTTGCCTAATTGTATGGAATATAGCAGAGATAATGAGCTCATTGTGAACTGCGACAGCCATATAGCGTGGCTCATGAAATGCTGATGGGACTGTCCGCACTGCATAGCAGAGATAAACACCCCACAAGAGGAATAAAAATTCAGCTGTGAGAAGAACAACAACAAAGAAAAGAACAATTTTCCATTAGTTTTATAGGTGAATAAAAATGCAAAATTTAAGTGCTTTAGCATGCATTTTGTGTCTATTACAGAAACATAAGTTTAGCTAGAAGTAGATGCATACAAAATGTCATTCACATATGAATACATGTGACATACATTTAAGATTTTATTCAGTGTGTAGACTTTTCAAAGGTACACTTTGGTTTTTGTTTTCTTGCTTTTTTAAAAACAGTGCTTGGTGTCTCAGATTTTTCTTTTGCTAATGCCTGGCTTTTTTCCTGAAACAACTGTAAAATTATTTTCTACATCCCCAACCTGAGTTTAAGATATTCACGGAGCATCTGGGTCATAATGAAGTCATCAAGGCAACAAAGGCTTGTATTGTGTTCATATGTAGCTTCTAGAAATGTAAGGTCTTACCGCATTGAATCTGGTTCAACAACATAAAAATATCCATTGCTAGAAATGTGAGAAAATAGGTTGATAAACATTCAGTGGCATATTTTATAAATGAACCATTATTTCTTCACACATGACAGAAATCCCATCTTTTGTGGGTGGAGTGCTGAAGGCTTCGTAAAATTCATAATCACCTTGTTTGTGGGATCAAGCCAGAAGAGACAAGCATAGTAAAGCGGTTAAGGATAAGGGCTTCAGAATCACATTAGGCCTGATTGGAAATTCTGGCTCTGTCTCTAATTAACTTTGCATAATCTGAGGCAATTTAACGTCTCTGGCCACAGTTTTCTTATTTGGAAAATGAGAATAATAAAAAGTACATATTTCATGAGATTATTTGCTAATGAAATTAAAAAATGGATATAAAGCACATAATATAGTTACAGACATGGTAGATATTAGATACGTAAAGGAATACATAAAAACACACATTAAATGGATCTTATTGTTAAACATCTCGTTTGACTTTTTTTTCCAAACTGAACATCACTACTTTAACCCTTTTTGACCAATAATTGCTACCATTCATTTTATCTGTCTTAGCGACATGACCTCACTGTAAGATAGTATCTAAAGAAGATAATATCTAATTAATAATAAAGAAGAAAGCTCTAATTTGGAGAAAATATTTCATCAAATGTATTACCTGGAGGTAACCTACTTACTTATGTACTGAGACACTGACTTCCATTCCCATATGCTAAAGCTGTTTTACCTGCCAACCTTTCAGCCTATTTCTGTCAGTATTTAAACAATAGGTAGTGCCCTAATTATTGAAAATCCCTTAAATAAACACATCTGTCAAGAGATACTCTAAAACCCTGATGTGGTTAGAAGCCAAATAAAAAATAAGGCACACTCCAAGATCTCCATAAGATTTATTCAGTCCCAATTATTCAGTATGTTGGCCACTGGCCATGTGCTATAAATGTTCTTTCCAGCCGAGTTCTACTGGATCAGGAAAAGCAAATCAAGAAATGCTGAGGTCTTCATGTAGCACTTTCCTTCCTAACTCTTGTATTTCTTTTCTTTTCTTTTTTTTTTTTTTAAGTTTATTCATTTATTTTGAGAGAGAGAGAGGAAAAAAAAGAGAAAGTCTGGGTTGGGGAGGGACCGAAAGGGAGAGAAAATCCCTAGCAGGCTCTGCATGGTAATCGCAGAGCCTGACATAGGGCATGATCTCACAAACTGAGATTATGACCTGAGCTGAAATCAAGAGGCAGATACTTAACCAATGGAGCCACCCAGTGGCCCCCTAACTTGTATTTCTGTCCATAGTACTGCTATTGCCTCTTTACCCACGTTGGAAATCTCAGCTGCCTTTCTTTGGTACATTGAGTTGTTTTTCATAGGGACCGTTCCTCCCAGTGCCTACAGTGACTACCCTTTAAGTGCCTATCATATTGCTCTTTATTTGTTACAGTTATTTTTCAACTGCCCCATCTAAACCTGGCTTCATCCTGTGTTCATTCATTCTTTATTTTCTGAAACTCCACTTTGATCACATCAGGATTTGTCCAAATCCCTGGCACTCCACTTGGGTTAGCTGATTCACATTTCCATTATAAAATTCACTCATACTCACTTTGGACCTTGGAAATAATTCTTGCCCCAAAAGGAAGACTACAAGGGATTCATGTCTGGGCAGACATGTCCTCACATTTAAGCCTTTCTTGCTACCCAGTCTTCATGTTAGTTGCTCACTTTGCTTGGCCTTATTCTTTTGTGCTTGTATATTTCTCACCCCTGATTTATCTAGTTGTTAACCCCTCAGGTCAGGCTTTTGTGAGGTACTGCATGCATCGTCATTCAGATATCTCTAGTGGCTTACTATTATTTTACGAAGGCTTGGTCCTGACATTCCTAGCTCCCTGTGACTTCATGCTATACATCCAACATGACCTTCCAATACTCCCTAGCATGAACTCTGAGCTGGCCCAGGAAGACTCATTGTCCTCTGACCACTTCAAAGATTCTTCTTGCTTCTGAGTCTTTGTTTATGCTATTGCTCACACCAAGAATTTCTTCTCACCCACATTTTCCAATCTTATCCAGTTTTTCAACGTCCAATTCAGGCCCCACCTCCATCACAAAGCCGCCTGAATTGATTCTACCTTGCACTGAATTTTCCTTCCTCTAATCTCTTATGGGTTTTAACTATCGATACTGCACAATGCAGAGAATAATGCCACAGGATATATAATTGAGAGAAAATTATTTGTGGAGTCATGTTAATCACTCCCTTCTTTAGCCCCAAATAGTTATGACCTTCAGGAAAAGAAGCAAGTCTTATTTATTTATTTACTTACTTTTTAAATTCAAGTATAATTAACATCCAGGGTTATATAAATTTCAGGTGCGCAATCTAATGATTCAACAAGGAATGGAGGCTTTCAAAGATTTTTTCTGCCTTTGCCCACATAGACAGCAACAGTATGGAGCATACATAGATAAGATTCAATAAATATTTGCTGAATTGAAAGAATATAAATGATATCACTTTCATGTTATTAGAGATGTAGACTTTCTGTTACCTTGTCACTCCCTCTAACACTGCAGGGATTACAGACATGTAAAGGTCATACCGGCATTATTATTAATAGTGCTAACTGCTGTTTACTGATGGGCCACGACGTGTATGGTAATGTGCTTGCCACTTAGGAATAATGAATCCAGAAATATTGTTAAACAACCAGCAGCACAGAAGTATGCTGAAATGGAAGGATTTCCACGTAGCAGAAACTATCTCCTTCTGAAGACACCACCTCCTGCCACTTGTTGCAGTCTTTTTACACAATGTTATCTTGAGGATTAAAAAAAGGAAAACAGGTTAATTAGGGTGCTGTAATGTATAATTATATTTAAATTATTATTTTTTTTTTAAATTTTTTTTTCAACGTTTTAATTTATTTTTGGGACAGAGAGAGACAGAGCATGAACGGGGGAGGGGCAGAGAGAGAGGGAGACACAGAATCGGAAACAGGCTCCAGGCTCTGAGCCATCAGCCCAGAGCCTGACGCGGGGCTCGAACTCACGGACCGCGAGATCGTGACCTGGCTGAAGTCGGACGCTTAACTGACTGCGCCACCCAGGCGCCCCTATTTAAAAATAAGAGATAAAGTAAGATTCCTCCCAACAGCTAAGCTTAACATTAAAATCATTTCATTAGCAATATCAAACAATATGCTCTGGCTGAAAAACAATTTATTATTCAAAGTACCAATTAAACTAAATGTGATATATAAAAGTTGTGCTTGGGAAAAAAAAATCAGTTTCATATAATTAACTTCAAACTAACACTGCAATTAGGAAAGAAAATATGCAGATGTTACCAAATTTTGCAGTGTTATTACGTGGGAGTTGAAATATGTGTTGTGCTTCTGCTTTAGAAAATAATTTCTGCTGTTAAATGATTTTGATGGGAGGCATGAGTACAGTTAGAGAGGGAATTGCATTTATATTCAAAGACCCAAGTGGAGCTTTCAGAAAACTGAGGTATTTTGCTTTTTAATCTATAAGGGATACCAGTTTGAAAGTGAGCTACCATAGCCTTTAAAAAATTTATATATGATAGTGAAAGCGATTTCAAGTTATCTTTCCAAAGGGCTGGGTCAAGCAAAGTGAGAATTAGTATCAGTTCTTTGACACTGAAGACGCCTGGGCTCTGTGATCTCAGAACACCCACGATGGCTGAGAGGAAAATAACTTCAGAGTACAAATGTCTCTCAAGCTGTGGTTCCCTGCTTTGCTGTGCTGCAAAGGCATTTTTGTCTTAGTAACATTTTATGCTTCTTAGCCCCTTTAAAATTATTTTTATGTGGCACAAGTAAATATATAAATGACACATTTAGGTTGAATTTTCCAAGAATTTCTGTTTTTTTAAAAGAATTTTTTAAATGCTTATTTATTTTTGAGAGAGAGAGAGAGAGAGCAAGGAAGCATACGCAAGTGGGGGAGGGGCAGAGAGAGAGGGAGAGACAGAATCCCAAGCTCGCTCTGCGCTGTCACCGCAGAGCCTGATGCAGGCTCACGAACCGTGAGATCGTGACCTGAGCCGAAATCAAGAATCAGAAGCTTCATCAACTGAGCCACCCAGGTGCCCCTCTAAGTATTTCTTTTAATGTCCTCCTCTGTTTTCCTCTAAGTCCTTCACTTTCAAAGTTTTCTGGTTTTGTGCATGCAATAACATGGTAGGCAGCACAGAAGTTATCATGAAATAGGAAAACAATAATGCTTGAGAGTAACTCAAGTTCCAGTGTTCTAGGCCTCAACTGGCATACAGGAGCCTTGATATTTGGGAGGCTTAGTTGCCTTTTCTTTTTAAAATAAGAACAGTTGCGAGAGTTACAATGCTGAAAACAATGAGAATGATACTCTTGATAGAATTTTAAAGCTAGAAGTGACTTTATTAGACCATGGAGTCTGGGGGTGCTGTTTGGAGTGTGTACGTGGCTGCAAAGATGGGTGGTTGGTGAACTGCTGTGATTCTGCTTGCCTGAAGTCCCTTCATTGAGCTTTGGGAC